CCCTCCCCTCCCCTCCCCTCGCTCTCTTGACTTATATTTCTCTTGGACTTTCCCAGAAGCATACCTTGAAGAGTACGCTCATGCAGGTTACTGAAGAACACCTGGTTACTTTTTCTTTGACTGGTTTAGAATGGGTGAGCTCTTAGGAGCTGCAGATCCTATAGAATATTTGCTGCATACTGCTCTGGTGGGAGGCAGGGCTGTCATGGGACATGGAGGTGATGTGACGTGTGTTTGCTCATTGTTTGATGTCGTTGATGGAATCTAGTTAGACCATGTGATCTGCTAGGATGGTCAGCTGTCCTGGCCTTCCTCAGTGTGGGCCAGATGAAGTGCAAGTTTGCTTGTGTGGCTTTTGGAAACCTGGCAGTTTGAGGCCCCAGTATCAGGCTAACTCTTGACTTGCTGCTGTGTCTTGGACCATCCTGTGCCGATTCACACCTGGGCTGTCATTCCCTTGTCTGCTGCTTTTCTAACTTCTGCCTCTGCTCATGTGACGTCTATGTTTGACCTGCCTTTAGCTCTGAATTTCGCTTCTCAGCATTGTTTTTTAGCCTTTTGGCCCATCTCAATGGCACAGTCCTCATGGAACAATTCCAGGCTAGGCTCCCTGGCTCTGTCCAGCCGTCATCTTTCTTAGCTTGGCCTGCTCCTTGCTGATGTCCAAGGGCTTGGACCTGGATTACTGGCTTCGGTTGTCCATCATGGAGGTCCAGTCTGGGTACTATGCAAGACTCTGGAGCTGACTGTTGGATAAAATGAACTCTTATCCTAGTGAAGTTTGGCCAGTGAACTCTTGCAGATTTCTGGCAACCACAGTTGGGAGAAGAGGGATCGACAGGTCTTGTCACTTGGCACTCCCTGTTGTCAGTCCAGGCCATTCTTTTGAAGTTGTATCGTAACTACCCAGAGAAATACTTTGAGAAATGTTTAGCATGCTTGGATGCCAGGAAGAAGGCACCATTTAACTTACAATGTTGGAACATTTTTTTCTCTTTCCTAATCCTGCTGCCCTTGAATTTGGCTCCTACTTTTTAAAAAATTCAATTTAAAACTTTATATGTATGAGCCAGGCATGGTTGGCGCACACCTGTAGTCCCAGCACTTGGGAGGCAGAGGCAGGTGGATCTGTGTGAGTTCAAGGCCAGCCTGGTCCACATAGTGAGTTCCAGGCCAGGTGGGGTTGCAGAGGGACCTTGTCTCAAAAACACCAAAAAAAAAAAAAAAAAAAAATTTTTTTTTTATATGTATGAGTGTTTTGCCTGCAGGTATGTAAGCACACCCATCTATGCAATGCCCAGAGAGGCCAAAAGAGGGTGTCACATCCCCTGGAACTGGAGTTACAGACCTTACTTAGCTGCCATGTGGGGGCTAAGAACAACCTGGGTTTTTTTTGCAAGAGCAGCCAGTGCTCTTAACTGCTGTGCCCTTTCTCTACACCACATTTGACTCCAGCTTTTATGTACTGAAATCTTCGTTGAGTGAAAAAAAACCCAAAAGCTCAAATCATCTTGCAGTTCCCTACTTTCCTGGTCAGCTCATGAGAAATCATAAGGTTGATTGTCATCTTGTTCACTGACAGGGTATAAATCTAGCTCTGTATTAATTAAAAATAGCACTGTACATGGTGGCTAATATCTGCAATCCAGCACTTGGGAAGCTGAGGCAGGAGGATTCCCATGAATTCGAGGCCAGCTGGGCCTAGAGTAAGTACCTATCTTAAACACAGGAAAGGAAGGAAGGGAGGGATGGAGGGAGGGAAGGAGGGGAGGGCAAGAGAAGAGAAGGAAAGAAGGAAGGAAGGAAGGAAGGAAGGAAGGAAGGAAGGAAGGAAGAAAAAGTGCTAACAGGTATTGATCATAAAGAACTTTAGCAAACATAAAGGGACACACGAAGCTTCTTCATATTCAAATATATTCAATAAAGAGGTGAGACACCAAGAAGAGCTGTTTCCTCAAATGTCTATATCATTGTGTTAGTGAGGCATTATTTGAATAATACTGTTCTTCTGTCTATGCAATATGTATTTTTATAGTCATGTCACTTGGTATCTCTCCCTCCTTGACTCAGCAAGAATAAGCACAGTGTTCCCAGGGCTTATTGGTTTGTTTGTGGCCTAAGTATGGACAGAGGCATAAGCCTAAGCAGAGTTATTGGGGTCTTCCTTTCTGTCTTCTCCCCACAGCAGTTCCTTCTTTCACCTCAGAGTTTAGTCTCTTACAGCCATTGCTTTCTATGGTAAGAGAGAGGATGACGTGTGCTGAGTAGGTCTGACCAGGAGTCAGTGGGGCCAGAATCTGGAAGTGACAGCTTTGAACTCACTTGAGGTCCTTAGATCAAGTCTGAGCCTTGCTCTGAGCTCTAAATTGAGGAAATTAGACTAAGGATGCCCTGGGGTATTTCTAGTGGAGATGAACTCTGCTGGTGTTAAATTGCACGTGAGTGTGTGTGTGTGTGTGTGTGTGTGTGTGAGAGAGAGAGAGAGAGAGAGAGAGAGAGAGAGAGCAAGCAGAGTCCGAGTCCTACAGCTGAGTGTTGTTTTTTCAAGCCCAGCCTCAGTCGGAACTCTGGGGATTTAGCTACACTGGTTGCACATCTGTCCTGTATGTGGTCTGCCCCAGTAAGGCTCTATAGTTGCACACTTGCTATGTACAGGGCCTATCCAGTAAGGCTCTGTGGTCACACACCTGTTGTGTACACAGACTTCCAGTAAGGTTCTGTGGTCGCACACCTGCTGTATACACAGATTGTTCCAGTAAGGTTCTGTGGTTGCACACTTGTCCTGTACAGGGATTGGTCTGACAGAGCGCTTTGTCTTTGTGCCTGCTGTATGCTGAAGACTATTCTGGTGCTGCAAGGATGCTGAGTAGTGGCCACTTCCTTCCAGGAAGGGGCTTGTAGCCTCATAGGAAGAAATGTACAGAGCTCCCTGAACAGGTGGCAAGGGGTGGTACACTGAGAAATTGCTACTGTTTAGGATGTAGTAAAGGGGTATCTAATTTCCATTGGCCAGAGGGATCATAGGTGGTTTTGGTGACAAGGTGGCAGCCGAGCTAAGTCTTCATGGATGAGCAGGGTTCCTCATGAGTGGAGAGCATAGGAATGGGACGTAGGAATGGGGAGAGGCTGAGATAAGAGCTAGCATAGAATGGACTTGTGGAAAGGAGGCTGTAGTGCAAGTGGTGGGTAAGAAAGAAGAAGAGAAGGGGGTAGAAACCAGGTCTGGGAGTGCAGCCTAAGACCAAGCCTGGGTTTGACACCGAGCTTCCTTCCCTAAGGTGGCAGGTAAGACTGTCCGTCCTCCTAGGACTTTAAATGAGACCAGAGTCTCTTTTCTTTACAACAGTGGCCCTCAATTGAGGGTCACTTTGTTCCCTACCCCAATAGGACAGAAAATAGAGTCTAGAGACCTTCATTTTCAAGGCAGGGTCTTACTGTGTAGCTCAGGCTGATCTGGAACTCAAGATCCTCCTGCTTCTGCCTCCCAGGTGCTAGGATTTCAAGCGTGAGCCACCATGCCTGGAGATACTTTTGACTGCTGTGATCAATGTGTGTACGAGTGGAAGCCAGGGATGCTGCTAAGTACCCTACGATGCATCACTTACATTTATCTTTCCAAGGGGTCAATGTTGAGGGTTTTAGTCTGAAAGCTTGCCTTGGAAGAGCTGGCAGTCTTAGTCATTCAAGACTGTTTCGATCCTTTTGGATTGTAGGGTAAAAGATACTTTTATCTCTCTCTGTCTCTCTCTGTCTCTGTTCGCTCTGTCTCTCTGTCTCTGTGTGTCTGTGTGTGTGTGCATGAGGGTGTATAGTGCCACTGCCCACATGTGGAAGTCAGAGGGCAACTTTCAGGAATTGGTTCATACCTTTTGCCTCCTTCAGGCAGGGTCTCTCTTGTTTTTACTCCTATGCTGGGCACACCAAGCTAGCTGGCCCAATTCTCCTGTCTCTACCTCCCATCTCACTATAGAATACTGTGAATACAGATGGGCGCCACTGTATCAAGTTTTTTATATGGGTTCCAGGAATCAAACTCAGGTGGTCAGGCTTGCATGGCTAGCAGGAAATGACCTGCTGAGTCATCTCCCTGGCCCCTGGTTGTGTTTAAATAAAGCAGGATGTAGAGATTGGGACAGAATGAGAAATCTGGCTCAAGTTGCTCTGTGGTGCTTTGCTGTGGTATTCCTCAGAGCCCCATGCCAGTTACTGAGATCTGGATGAATGAGAATGGATGGTGTTGTACTCCTTTACCATGGGCTCCACTGCTGCTGCATCATGGGTCCTGTTTCTAACTGTTGCTTTTACCCACAGCCCTCTCTGCTCCTTCAGGGCAGGGCCATGCTGAGGCACATGGTCACCCCTGGCCAGTGTGGACTGCACAGGAATGTTCAGAGCATGTGGCTGAGACTTGCCCTGGACAGCCTGTTGCCGTGTGTGTGTGTGTGTGTGTGTGTGTGTGTTTGTGTGTGTGTGTATACGTGTCCTTGTCTGAGGGGCACTGCTGAGACTTGGGCCATCTGACTGTCCAGTGGAGCATCTCAAATAGCTTTCACTGAAGCAGGAGAAGGCTCTGGAAGGGTGATTCCTACTGCCCCTATTGCCCCCAGAGAGTATTTTACCCACAAAGACACACTCAGGCTGACCTTCCAGTTGAGTTTAGCAATGGTCTCTGAAGGGATGCTAGCTCAGTGACAGCAGCTCAGGGCATTATCAAACTCTGATGTGAATTTGAACATGAGTTGTGAACAGAATTAGCATCTCAGACCCTTGCAAGTGGCAACTTTAAGATTTTGATATGAAGAGCTATTCGCAGAAATGGTGATTTTTTTTAAACATTGCATTAATTAGATAGCGAAAATGTAAAGATGTTTAATTCAAAAGTCTGCTTCATTGTCAGATGCGCTCTATCCCAAACAAGCTGGTCTTTCTAGATTCCTCTGTCTTAAAAACTTTCCTGTTTCTTGGTTTTTAAAGAACATAGTTCCTTTGGCTGTCATAAACTATAACTATAAAAGAGTAAGTTAGGTAGGAAGTGACTTGTTTGTCAGATTCATCCTTGTAGCAAATAGTCACTAAATGTCTACTATGCGTGCCACTCTTTCAGCACTGCTATAGAGGTGTGGGCATAGGAAGGTATGCAGGCGCAGTCCCCATCCTCATGCGGTTTGTGGACTAAAGAAAGATGGTCCAACAAGTGACTGTGGCATAATGTCAGTGATCAGTGTGATGAGGCAGAGCAAGGGGCTGGATCTGGGGAAGCGATGCTATGTGTTTGATTACCCAGGGAAGGGATTCCTGGGAAGATGACAGTTGTAACCTATGTGAAGTGAGGGACAGAGCTGAACAGCTGAGGATAGTGGAACAGCACTCCAGATATGCTGAGCATAGTACTGGATTGGTGGGCACAGGAGTAAGGAGAATGTCTGTGGCCTGCTAGGAGATCAATCTCGAGCTGAGAGAGGTGGGGAACAGATCTCATTGGCTTATGAAACACGACAAACTTGGGTTATAGCTGAGAGAGCTCGTAGACCATGGGAGGGTATAAGTGTGTGGGAGTTAAACTTAGTTTTGATTTGCTGTGGAGACTTGACAGGAGTAGGAAGAGATAAGTCTTGGGAAATCTGAAAAATCCCACAATGCTATTCAGTATGGATTGGTTGTATCTTTCAGGAATGGATACAAGTTTCTCTACTGTTCTGCACGGGCCATCGGGATGGCAGACATGACGAGGGGCTACTTGCACTGGGTCAACGAAAGGGGCACGGTGCTGCCACAGGGGCCACTGCTGCTCAGCCCAAGCAGCCTCTTCTCTGCCTTGCACAGGTATGTCTGCCCGACTGACCCCCATTTACTGTCTTCCAGCCTGCTGTTTTCTCTCTTCCTCATTGGAAGTTTTGCAAGAATAGTCTACTGGGCTGGGCAGACAGCTTAGTTTGTATAGCCCTTCCCTTCTAATCACTAGAATGCAAAAGAAAAGAAGGGTGTGGGCACAAGTCTGTCATCCCAGAACTGGAGAGGCAGAGACAGGTGGGTCCCTGGGGCTCACTGGCCGGCTTGCCTCACGTAATTCCAGGCCAGTTTGTATGAAAAACAGAAAAGGTAGACAACACCCAAGGTTGACCTCTGGCCTTCACACTTGGCATGTACACACACACACACACACAACACATGCCAGAAAACTGGCAGGAAAGTAGTAGGGTTTGTAGCTCTTTCTTGGTTCATTTGAGCTGGTCCCATCACAATAAATCTAGAGGGATGACAGTGTTGCCTGCTATGCCAGAGTATAATTCAAACCAGTTTTTTAAAAAATTTATTATTATTAGTGTGTGTGTGTGTGCATGTGTGACAGAGAGAAAAAGAATGAGAGAGAGAGAGAGAGAGAGAGAGAGAGAGAGAGAGAGAGATTGGGGGAATAGCCAGAGAGAGAGAGATAGCCTCGAAGCTGACCTCTGACCAATACCCACACTCCGTAGTGGGCAGCACTTGATTCTAGAATGCAGATCAGCCCCACCTCTACTTCGATACCTTCCTAGTCTCTCAGCCTTCTGAGCTCAGTGCTGGATACCTCTCCTTGACCTGCCCTGCCTCAGCCTTTCTCATTTCCGATTCTATTGTACTGAACCATCTCCATTTTCTAGACAGTACTCTTCCGCAGCCTTCGCACACATGGTTCTCCTGGGTTCTCTTCCTGAGAGGCCCAAGTTGTTTATTTAATAAAAAATTTTTATCAGCATACATTCATTGCATTTCATTATGATATTTTCCTACCCCGTATATCAAGTACTTTGATTATATTCACATATTCATCCTCCTGTTATTCTCTGCTGTCCCTCTTCCCCGCTCTCACTTGTCTCCTTCCCAAACAGGACCCTCACTGATTCTGCGTATGGGAGAGCACTTGTGGTCTTTCTGAGCCTGGTTCACTTCGCTCAGTGTGATCTCCAGTCCCACCTAGTTTCCTGTGATTGGCATAATTATCTTCTTTATGGTTGAATAATACTCAGTTGTGCATATGTAGCAGATCTGTTCATTCATCAGTTGATAGACATCTAGTCCTAAAAGCCTTGGAAGAACAACTTACATCACACTGCAGGACCTGGATGGGGAGCCTCTCTCCTAACCGCCCCTAACCACCTGGCTTTTCATATCACTTGCTCTTCTCTCAGAGTGGTAGAGACACTGCTTATTTTAATGGTCTCATGAGACCCCTGTTCTCTTTGTGATGACCCTGCCCCCTTCTCTTCCTGGTTTATTTAAGGCAGTCAAGCCAGTTAAGGTCATTGTAAGGACTCCACACTCTCTGGAGATGGATGAGACTGTTTCCCTCTACTTTTCGTAAAGCCTGTTATCTTGTGGTTGACCACAGGATGTTGGTCTCTGCTAAGGGCTGACTGTGTTGTCATATGCTTGGTCTTTAAAGCCCAACAAAAGCTTGAATCAAAGGTTCAGATTAGGTGTTAAACATGCATACAGTGGAAGAGTCTAGATGGTCCCCAAATGCTTTGTTGGATTTCCAGATTGTTCTTTAGTTCTACAGATACCTTTTTGCCAAAGCTTTATTCAGATCTTTTTTTTCCTATAAAAAGATCTCAAATTGAAATTTCCCTGTTGTATGGAGATTTAGGTGTGTTAATATTACATGTCTTAGACACAGAGCCTTTGCTATGAGTGCTGTAAGTATCTTTTCTCAGGCTTAGCTTTTGATGAATGTAAGTTCCCAGTTCCATGGAGTTGAGCACATCAGTTCCTCTGTAGTTTGTGCCGTCTGTGTATTTGCAAAGTCTTCTCTGATTAGATATTGTCTTCCGTATTTTGGCAAAGGATTGGGCACACTGACCAATGCCCCATTGTCTCTTCCCAGAGCCTCCTACACTCTTTACCTTCCCATCAGCATCCACGTCAGCTGTTTGGCTTTTAGAACCAAGTTCCATAAAAGTATTCAGAAGTCTGTTATGATTTGATTGCAATTGCAGTGAATCTGGAAATCAATTTAGGGAGAATTATATCTCAGTATAATATTGAATCATCTGATTCAAGAATGTTTTATCATTTCATTTTATTGGGGTCTTTCCTTTTGATTATATTTCACTAAAGTTCTATAATTTTGGCCAAAAAGTCTAGCATATCTTTGTTAAGTATATTCCTAGATGTTTGATATTTAAAAATTCAGTTAAAATACTATTTATGGTGCTGGAGTGGTGGCTCAGTGGTTAAGAGCACTGGCTGCTTTTGCAGAGGACCTGGGCTTGGTTCTCAGTACTGACATGGTGACAAACATGACTTTAGTTCCAAGGGATCTGGCACCCTCATCTGGATCCTGCAGGCATTGCTTGGTGCAGTTACATACATGCAGGCAAAACACTCATACACATAAAATCAAAATAAATGAACAGAAATACTAATTTATACAATTATATTTTCCACCTGTTTCTGGTATATGAAAATGCAGTGGTTTTTGTACATAGCTTTTTTCTTTGTACATTGACATTCTAAAATCTTATTAAGTCTGGTCTTTTTTTTAACTAATTATTGGAGGCCAGTGGGTAAAGGGGCTTGCTGCCAAGCCTGATGACCTGAGCTTGATCCTCGGGACCCACATGGTAGAAGGAGAGAATGGACTTGTGAAGGATTTCCTCTGTCCTCCACCCCAAACATAAATATAGTAAAAAGGTAAAAATTACTTTTTGTGAATAGTGACAATGCCCCAAATTCTAATTTTTGTAACCTTTGGTTTTTCTTACATCCCTGTATCAAAAGCACAGCCCTGAACTGAAATGTCATGGAGGTATCATTATTTTATGATCCATGCAATGTTTGCAGTCGTTTTTTTATGAGATACGGTCTTGTTATGTAACCCCATTTGGCCTAGAACTCACTATGTAGACCATGCTGGCTCCAGACTTTGCCTCTGCCTCCCTAGTGCTGGGATTGTAGATGTGTGTCACCACACCAGCTTTTTGTAGTAAGATATAGAGCATTCCTTTCTATTCCTGTTGTAAGTTTTCATCCTGACTAGATGTTGACCTATGTCCAACGTCCTTTTTGTATCTGAGATGATCTTTTTCTCTTAACCTGATAACGTGTCATATATCCTTACAGTAATCAGTTTTAAAAATCACATGGCGTCTGTGTGACTGGAATAACCCCAGATTACATGCACTGTCTCTTTGCATGCATAGTTACCCTTGGAACTTTTGCCCTGGCTTTTACTTTTGCCTGGCTTTTTACCAGCTTGGCCCACACTTTGGCAGACTTTTCCTTAGATTTCTTTCTGAGGTTACACTTGCCTGACAAAGTGAGTTTGAAGGTGATCCCTTTGTTTTAGGCCCTGCCTCTTGTTCCTTAGGCAGGCAGTGCTGCTTGCTCTCTTGCATTTTCCTTGTGCTGAGATTCTGGCTCACTCTCTGTCTAGTGTTTTTCTGGGCTGCTGGCGCTGACTTCATGGTTTCACAACAAAACTAGCTTACTTTTGTTTATTATACTTTTATTTATTTCCTGTGTGTATGTGTTTGTTCCTGTGTCATGACATATAGAGGTTAGGGGACAATCTATAAGAATCGGGTTCTCTCCTACATGTGGGTTCTGGGGAGTGAACTCAGGTTGTCAGTTTTGATAGTAAGCACATTTACCCATTAAGCTGTCTTGTTGACCCTAAAAACAGCTTAATGCTAATGAAGCTTAAATCCTTTCATGCTGCCCAATTATTTGTTTGTTCATTTTAACAGAGAAGTGATTGAAAAGAAACCAGAAAAGTTCAAAGTCCAGTGTTTGACAGACATCAAAAACCTGTTTTTCCCAAATACAGAGCCCTTTTACGCTGCTTTTGGGAACCGGCCTGCTGTAAGTACTCAAGGCATCTGTGAGAGCACCAGACATTTCTCTGTGTGCCAGCAGTCACTGCAAAGACCTGGCCCAGGAGTATATGTAAAGCCAACCTCATCCTAAGGCAAAGAGGTTAAAAATGTCAGACACGGCCTCTGCTCTTCTTTGAAGGCTGGTTAGTGAGTTTGAATCTGGAGACATGGGACTAGAAACTTCCAATTCCATATTATTCAAGTTAGTAAAAGAAGAGCATTTAACAATGCTGTACCCTTCCCACCAGAAGGGGACCAACAAGCCAGTTTTGACTGCAGTGGTAGGTACATGACCTCCAGCCTGAAGCAGGCAGCGACACCTCTGTGGGTGAAGGAGATGTTGTGTGTGCAACCCAAGCTTACTAGAAGGTTCCATATTCTGGAGAACACGACTGGGCACTAGCTGCTTAACTGGAAAATTCTATTTTTATGAAATGAGAAAGTGGGTCAGAAAATAACCCTGAGGAATGCCAGCTAGCATGGCAGGGGATGTGGGAGGCTTAATTCAGGTCTCAGGAACTGAGGGAACTGAGGCCCAGAGATGGAAGCTAATGGAATGGGTCCCTGCTCCTCAGATGTGAAGCTCTAGTCTGCGAAAATTGGATAATATGGCATTCAGGAGAGATAGTGTGTGCTGTTTGCGTAGTGAACACTCCTCACCCCCTACTGACATGTTCAATCTCCTTTCCCAAATTTAGGATGTGTATTCCTACAAGCAAGTGGGAGTGTCCCTGAATAGGATCTTCACTGTCAACCCCAAGGGCGAGCTGGTGCAGGAGCATGCCAAGACCAACATTTCCTCGTGAGTGGCGTCTGTTCCCTGGGGCTGGACCTGCACCACTATCATGAAGTTGGCTTTGCAGTCTATTGCAGACCCTTTTAGCCATTGCTACTTCTGCTTTAATCTTTGTATATGTATGCATATGTGTGTGTACATGTGTGCAGTATGCATGCACGTGTGTGGAGGCCAGAGGTCAATGGCCATTTGTTGGATGTTTTTCTCAATCACTCTGCAACTTATTTTTTGAGAGAGGGATTCCAGCTTCTAGGAGGGCAGGCCCAGAGCCTCTGTAGCCATGTCACCAAGAGTGTTTTAGCTGTCTGCTTTGCCCATGTCTGAGCTCAGTGCAGACCTTTATTTGGGAGCAAATTTCATATCCCTTCAAAGACTGTCTTCTGACACCTGGACTGGCAAAGAGACAGGTCCTCTGAGAGAGGAATCCTCCGTCATCAGGAAGCCTACATTTACCCAGGCACTGAACTTGGAATAACCATTTCTTTCCCTTTTTTTGAGTGTGTGTGTGTGTGCGCGCGCGCGCACGCGCGCACATTCCCTAACATGTGTGTGTAGAGGTCAGAGGACATCTGTCAAGTTGGTGGTTTTCTGTTTCCACATTTATGTGAATTTTAGGATTTGAACTCAGGTTGCCAGGCTTGTGTGGCAAGCACTTTACCTGCTGAGCCATTTCACCTGCCCATGGTTTTGACCATTTTTAAGTCAATCAGGTGCTTGTCTCTTGGAATCTGGGGTGATTATGTGAAATGATGAGATTCCCCTACCCACTAGGTGGAACAGCTAGCTCAGCGCTTTCTCTGTCTGTAGTTGGGGCATGCACTGTGCTTGCTCTTGGGAGCCCTGTGCCTGGAGGGTGGAGTGGCCACCCAGATGGAGCAGGTCCTGTTGCCGGGGCACGTGATCCACTCAGACTTGGTTATGGTTCTGTGCCTACCACAGCCTGGCAAGGAACAGCTCCCTGAGGGGAACACACCACCCTCAGCTCCCCCTTAGCCACAAACCTCAGGCAAATAGGCCTTCAAGTCAGGAGGTCTTCAGAAATTTGTTTGTTTTAATCCCCAGGAAAGACATAATTCTTGGTTTTATATTAAGAGAGGTTTCCTCACTCTGTAAGCGCAGTGTTTCTCACGGGTTCTTTGGAGGCTCCTTATTAAACACACACGCATCCTTATTGAATAAGTCATTTCATGCCTCAGAACATGCTAATCCCTGGAGTTTGGATTTCGAAAGCCCCTTTCGGTTCTCAACACATGGAGTGGAAAGGGTCCCAGGGACTGTTAAGCAGGAGTCTGGGCTGTGCTGGAGAGGGCCAGGCATGTCTGAATTACTGCATGGCTATACCTGGAGGTCTAGGAGGCAGATTCAGTGTAGCTACTTTCTTTCCGTACTGCAGACTGTGGATAGGCATTATCTTCCTTGGAACACAGAGGAAATGCAGTGAGACCTTGGAGGAGTCCGGCCCCATGCACTATTGAGGCCCAGTGCCACACAGCAAATAAGGCTGGAGGAAGCCTTAAGATTCCTGACCCATGCATATCCAGGGATTTTTTTTTTTTTTCTAAGACATGCTGATTTGCTATTGAATGATCGAGTTTCCAGTATACTTTATTGTTGCATATGTTATTCTGTTTGACATTGGTGTTAACCCTGTGGTGCAGTTTTAATTTCTTCCTTTATATTAGAGGAAATTAGGGCATAGAGAGATCAAGTCCTTTGCTCAAGATCACCCAGCTAAAATAGGGCAGAACTGGTAGCCAAATATGGGTCTCATTAACCCCAGGACACTGTGTGTCTTTTTACTGTGAAATGTAGCTCTGGGTGCAGCGCTGTCCTCCACATGGCTGGTGTGACTCTGGGCAATGACCCTGGTGTCCTTGTTCCTTTCAGGTATGTGAGACTCTGTGAAGTGGTTGACCACGTCTTCCCACTGCTGAAAAGAGGCCATTCCTCCGACTTCCCCTGCTCAGATACTTTCAGTAACTTCACTTTTTGGAGAGAACCACCCCCACCATTTGAAAACCAAGATGTACATTCTGCCTCAGCTTGATGTGAACAAGCAGCCTCTTAGAATGGGAGAGATCCTGGACGTCACCCATTAAAGGATAGGTTATGGGGACCCTGGAGCAGCTGGGAAGCCTGATATGCGTCCATCTGTGTAGAGAGAAGCATTTCTTCCCACCTGTCCTGTCCTGTCCTGGGGTGATGTTTTTAACTCCGTGTGGAGGGCTGATAGAAGTTGCATCTTCTGGGCTGCAGACCAGTTGGGTACACTACTAGCCTGCAAAACACTCCTTTGTCGTGGCTTAACATCCACAATGCTGCTCCCACCCTGCTCCAGCAATTAGTTCTCAGTTAATGTGCAATATTGGGTGATGAATCCTAATCAGAAGGGGGCGGCTACCTGAGAGCTTCCGTGCTAATCAGTGCCCACCCAGGAACCCTGTGGATGCACACAGTGCTTGGTAGTGTTGGGGGCCTGTTTCAGTGACAGTGAAGTTTGTGCTACCTTCTGCTCCTAGGGGAGGACTGTGAAGGGTCACATGACCTGAATCTGAGCGCTCTCAGCCTTGGCCCCCTGAGCCTTGGCCTTGGCCTTAGAGATGTTCCCTGGCAGTATTTGCTGACTTGGTCTCATTTTTAGGTAATAATCTCTTTAATTGCCTTGGTTAAAGATGGCCTGTGCCACTGGCATGTCCTTCCCATTCTTCATGGCTCAAGACTGGACTATTTATGCCTTAACACATCTACAGCAGACATTTATTTAGAGTGTGCTGTCTAGCTATCTGTAACTGCAATGCCTTATGTTAAAGTGATAGCACATTTCCCTAAGGCAGCAACCGCATCGGTTAGCATGCTGCTGTCCATCTGGGAGGCAGCGCCAGCGTGGATTGGAACAGCGCTTATGCCAAATGATAACGATGTCGACTTTTACTGGGAGCTCTCAAAAGAAACTGGTTGATTTTAAGAAACATAGTTTCCAGAAGTTAAATTATTTTCTTTGCAGATATTATTTATTACTTTACTCTCATGGGTTGTTGTAAGCATTTTAGCCAGATCTTTTGGATTACAACTGTCATTAATACATTAAAAAAAAAGTGTGCTAGACTATCCAAAGAGCCTTATTCTGTGTATTTCACACATGGATCTTCTGGAATTTATGAGCCGTTTATTTTCCTTAGCTTCTTCCACTTGAAAAAGTAATGATTTGAGTGATATTCTTTAAGCTGATAGAAGGTCGTTCGTTTACTTGTTATACTGGCCCACGGAGAGAACAATGTGAAAAACTAAGGAACTATTTTGAGAAAAGATTTTTGTTTTATTTTTTGAAGTACTTTTTAAAAGAGTGTTTTACTCCAAGACTGAAACACCTTCCTATTTAAATTTCACTGTTAGAGTCAGAGGAGGAATAATGGAGCAGTCCAATGAACTGTTACTCTTTCTGTGAAAGAAAATCCAAAGTTGCTGCCTTTGTTGTTATCAACCAGCTCTGTTAGGGATGGATGTAGTACACATAGCTCATAGGAAGGGATAATGCAAGGTGAATATCAGCTGTTGTAGACCACAGACAGATGGAGAAACCTGGATATGAATGTGTAGATTCCCTCTTGAGGGTGTGGACAGTACTTAAGCATAGTCCTGCCTTACTGAGCTCCTGGCTTATTCTCTAGTGACCTTTGAGGCCACAGTAATCTTTCTGCCACCAGGGTGCTTTTGAGTGTATTTTAATTGCTCTGGACTGAGTGCAATCTCATGGGCCTGCAGAGCTCTACAAGGCCTATCATACATGGGGGACGGGTAGCTTGGGATGTAGGGGTCTTAGGAATCTCCCTTCATCCACCCTCTGCAGTCCCATGTCCAAGCAGAGCCTAGAGAACGTGCAATGGCTTGACAGAGGGTCTCTGTAGCCAGGGCTGGCCTAGGACTCACTATCTCAAACTCAGAGCAGTCCCGTCTCTGTCTCAGGCAGGAGCCACCACACCTGGCTTAGGACTCTAGTTTTGAGATACCTTAAACTTCGCCATCACTCTACACTGAAACAGAGCACACCTTCCACAAAACCACACTGTAGGATCTCTGTCAAGTCAGCATGAGCCCTGTATAGGTTGTGCTAGGAACCTGCTGCGAGGCTCCTGAAAATGAGGTCTGAAGTCAGCTGTACCCAGGCACACTCAGGTTGGCTTATCTGCATATGCACCGTAACCCAGGGTCCCCAAGGTCACACGCCAGAATGGTATATTTACAACACACATTTCCATCTTACCTATGGAAATGAGTTACTCCATAGTGACAAGTCTTCAAATGTTGATCACACGTGAGGAAGGAGACTATACCTGGTACATTGCAGAAAAGTGGTCTTGTCTTCCAGAGAACTCCCCCTTCATTTTCAGGTTTGGATCACCACAGCATATTTATGACATTTGCTCTGTGTATATGCTGGTGCAATGATGAAAATCACTGTAATATTTCATTGTGTTGTGCTGGATGCAAAGCTAGAAAGTACTATAATAAACAAGATGGATTAAAGACTTCTTTGAAAATCGGGCATTGAATTTTAAATCGTTCTTATTAATGAGGTCTTAAGTTGTTT